ATAGTCAAAATCGACTTAAACAGTTTAACCACTCCGCTACTAAATTATAATTCAAGTAGTTCTGGCAGAATAAGATTTCATACCTCATCACTGATTTTTCATTAACTTGAATCTTTCAAGTTTTTTACCGCTGACATTTTCAGAGTCATTTTCCAACGGTAATCACTAATTTTGTTCATTTACCTTCATGCATCGCCATGAATTATGGGTTGGTAACTCACCTGTAACAGAAAAGAGCAAAACAGGTTAATGTTATGGTTTTTCAAGGTGATAGAACAGACAGTTCTCATTAGGGAAAAATAAATGGCTACCACTATTTTTATTCAATGTTTTTTCCGTACTGAGCTTCACTTTTCCCAGTCCGGGGATTGGTATTGACCCTTCCCCGAACAGGTAAAAGTGAAAATCACTACGGAAAAATATCGTTCGCGCCTAGTATCACAGGGGTTTTCGACGAGTGCGATTGACACGTCTCGCCTTCGGCTCAGTGTACCTCACACTCATCAAAAACCCCAGTGACACTCGACGCGAAATATACTATTACCATTCAATGAGAATGTCCAGAGTAAAATTACGTAATCCAAAACTCAATATCAATTTTCATATTCGGAAAATTTTCTCCTCCATTTTATTCATAACTCTATATTTTTTCTCTGCCTGTCACTTTTTGCACTTGATATGTCAATGGAACCTATAAAACCTATTGCAAAACCGTTATTAATTAATTTATTAATTAATATCTTGAATGCATCCCTTAGTAACTTGATTCGAAACACAATTTTTCGCCCGGACAATTTCACAAATTCCAGTGAGATGATGTGCGCCGCTTAAAAACCGGGATGAACTCCATCACACGACAATCTCCCCAAATGAAACATCACCATTCCCCCAAAAAAAATCCAACGCCACCAAAATACCTCAACTTCATAAAACCAATAATGATATGTAACTGCCAAGTTCAATTGGAAATTAACCCAAGACAATTTCTGGGTTTATAGGGAACAGCTATTGGAATTGTTTGAGTTACCCACAACTCCGAGCCCACAGTATCAGCTGTAATCTACATCAGACCTCCCATGCACACACGGTGTACAGGAGCCCGGTTGTATTAGTATTCGTGTACTAGAGGCTAATTTGAGGAAGACTATCCTGAGGTGTCTCGAATGGATAGTTCGGCTGCTTCTATATACTGCTTTCAGAATTGATCCGAACCCACAAGACGGAGTAAAGGGGGATGATATTGTCCGCCGTGGGAGTTTCACCGGCTGTGTGTGTGTGTGTGTGTGTGTGTGTGTGTGTGAGGGCCTTCATCTCGAGAATAGTCTTCCATCCTGTGCGAGACTATTCTCTTCACAACGTGCATATTGAAGAGATACTCCTCCAGATCCGGTCGTTTATTTACGAATTTGGAAACTTGAGAGCTATTTAGCTGTGACAATAAGCCGTCCGGAATTGACGTCTCAATTGTCCATTAATTTCAATACGTTGAATTGTTCCGAAATATCCACTGAGCGAGTGAAATTCTGGACATTACTCTGTTTCCCGTCTCGTTACCTAACATCCAGATGAATAGAAAATACGAACTAATGAGTGAATCCTGAAAAAAAGTATCAAAAACATGTTCAGCAAAGTCAATTAAATATTTCCAGTCTGAAAACTCGGTAAACTAGCCCCCGGCTGTTTACTCTCGGCTCACCCCCACGCAGCATTGTTAAGTAACTCTATATTCACTCCTTAGCCAACTCGTCTTTCATCTCGAGAAGACTGGAGTGCAGCCAAGAGAGTTCAGAAAAGAGCATGTGAGGGAAAAAGTGAGTGAAAATAAGGTGAAACTGGTTTTGTTAATTTGAGGAGACAAAAAGATGAAAACGTGAAATTTCACACCTGCACTGGAAGAAAAATTAGTTCTGAAGAATTATAGGTTCTACGTGAGATCATTTGATGAAGTGGTATAGATTTACTTGAGGGAAATTGAAGAATTTGGTGTAAAGAAATTTAAGATCTTTCGCCGAATAAAGAATTTTATCATTAGGTCTACAGGGTATTTTCGGTCGAACATGGCTTTGAGGTGTTTCGTGTGAAAAGTCATAAATTAGCAATTTGCTTCCGAACGGAATATTTATGAGAATGTTTCTTAAATTGAATTCAATGTGTCATTGAATTCAACATTGCCCCAATGTTGGGGCACTGTTGGCAGTCAATATTGACCCAATGTTGGTAATCAACATTGCCTTAACACTGGCAGTCAACATTATACCAACATTGACAGTCAACATTAATCCAACGTTGGCAGCAAACATTGTCTTAACGTTGGCTGTTAACATCGCCTTAACACTGACAGCCAACATTGACTCAACGTTAGTAGTCAACATTGCTCTAACGTTAAAATTCGTTACCTTTCCTTGACTATTGGTTTCAATATAAATGTTTTTTGACCCGTGGAAGGTGTGTAGCGCTGGCCGGAGGTGAGTGCTACTGTCCCAAGGGTTATAGAACACAATGTGTGAAAAGTGGAATTTCACTTTACGCACAAGTGACGGAAATAGCACATTCGACCTCCTGAAGGCAGCATTTGTCATTCTGCGACAACAAATAAGAAATGTCGACATCGACAGAAAGCAAAAAATTTGAAACAATTTGAAAGCAAAAAATAAAAACTAATGGAAGAAATATCAGCAGGCCAACTGGAAAATAAAATCATTTTGAACCTGACTCCATATCCCTTCTATTCTCAAATAGTACGAATCAATTGATCACACGCAGGAGCGATGGTCACGGTGGCAGTCAGCGCTGAGACCGCGGTTGAGCGGATTAGACTTGTGAACGCAAAGGATTACCACGGGTATACCGTCGATTGGTCATTCAATGACAAGCGCCATTAGCCCATCGACGCTGTCAATGAATTCATTGGTACTCGGAATGGGGGTAATCTCACGTTACTGAATCATTTCAACTGGTACATACATCAATCTCTTGCACAATAATCTGGCGATAATGATGGCTGGGATCGTAATCGGCTTTGGCAGCACGTCTGTCTAGCGAGGGCTAAGCCACATGAGAAAATATTCATATCATTTGATGCCCTTCAAGTTATTTCAGTCATGATCCAACCAATCATAGCAATTCGTATCTATTTGTAGTCGTAACCCATTCACTCTGGGAGATGGTGGATAACAGAAGGTACAACGATGATGATAATTCGGTTTAATCAGAATTAAATGTGTGATTAAACCTTTATCTCGGAATAGTTTTGGTGATTCAGTTGGGAATGGGTCCGTCGAGTTGAGAAAGCCGGATAAATTCTCAGCTGGAAGCCAACTCCAATCATTCCATCCACTACCAATTTTACCTAGTCCTTCTGTCCCCTCATTCTCAGCCAGGTTCATCTGGATTTCTCCAGATTTGTTGCTTAACCCTTTGAGGTGAATGGGCGTTTCCACCACTCGACGCACTTTCCGTAAGAACTGCCCGTCCCCACTCCGCCGGAGGAAGTACTACTCAGGCCGACTTTCACCTTAGAGGGTTAAAAGTGGATTAGCCCCGACTGGACGCAATCCCTTATGATTTTGGTATCTACTTCGTCGTTAAGCACAAAGCAAAAATATTCATATTATTTGATGCCCTTCAAGTTATTTCAGTTCTGATCCAATCAATCATAGCAATTCGTATCTATTTGTAGTCGTAACTCATTCACGCTGGGAGATGGTGGATAACAGAAGGTACGAGGATGATGATAATTCGATTTAACCAGAATTAAATGTGTGATTGAACTTCTATCTCGGAATGGTTTTGGTGATTCAGTTGGGAAAATAAGTCCGTCCAGTTGAAAAAGCCGAATAAATTCTCAGCTCGAAGCCAGCTCCAATCATTCCATCCACTAACAATTTTACCTAGTCCTTCTGTCCCCTCATTGTCAACCAGGTTCGTTCGGCTCTCCCCAGATTTGCTGTCTAAAAGTGGATCAGCCCCGACTGAACGCATTCCCTAATAATTTCAGTATCTACTCGTGGTTAAGCACGTTAGTGGATATGCTATATGTCCTACTGTTTCAGCATGATTAACAACTCGAATCCCCACGGACTCGTCACATGAATACATGGAGAATGTTCCATGGCACCTACACCATATGTTGGATTGTATGCACAGTTGCACTCGTATATAATGCACATTTATGTTTCATCATGTCACGGTCGAGATTTCCCACAAACTGTGCTACGAGTATATGGGACACTAATGGAGTAATATATATGCTGATTCGTGATATATTCAGGGAATTTCGTAATTGACTGGGATAAGGGAAGTTGGCTTCATTCAATTGTCATTGAATTAAGTTGATACATCCGTGATAGGACGATAGCCAAGTTTGTTGACTACAGGGTGGGGCATAGTGACATAGGGGCGAAACGAAAAAAAGTCTCGACCTGCTTAAGATACTTCCTCAGTGAGTTATACTTGCTGAAAATTTCGCAATGCACTGAAGATGTAAAATTTGGATCATAATGTTGTTGACCACATGTGAAATTGATTCCGAAAATTTCAAGTATTTTTTCTACACGAATTTTTGAGATATGTATCGACAAAAACTTAAAAAAGATAGAAATTGAATGTTTGACGATGGATATCTAAAAAATTCACGTGGAAAAAATACTTGAAATTTTGGGAGTCGTTTTTACATGTCCTCAACAACATATGATCCAAATTTTAGGTCTTCCATTCATTGCGAAATTTTCACCAAGTATAACTCAATGAGGAAGTACCTTAATCCTTATCGTTCGATTTTTACTAACTTGACCAACATTTTAAGTCATAATTTCTGACTTCTAGGGAAATACAAACTGAACAACTTGTATTTGCAACTGATAGCAATATCTTCGTGTGTTATCACAGCGCACGTGCACTATTATAGAAAATTGAACAATTAGGGTTTCCCATGGCCGTTCGGTTTCTGAGAATGTTGAACTGGTAAACAATATCATAATCGCTTATTCGCTACGACCAGTAGTCAGCGGAAAGTTTTCTATAACCGATTCCATTCAAAGTTCAATTAATAATGGGGAAGAAGAAGGAGAAGATACTTCTGTTTCTCGTATTTGGACTGATTCTACGTCAGCACCTGGTGATGGGATTCATACCAGGTTTGGCATTCGTCTACGATGTACTTGATAAAATGAATGCTATTCACGATGTGCACAGCAAGCTCAGTACTCCTTCAAGTGCTGATCTAATGGAAGCAACGGAAAAACTATCTGGAAAGATTGATAAATTAGGACCGCAAATTATGGAGCATATAGACCGAGCGGTGGAGGCCTTGCTGACACGCTTGCCTCTTCTGGGTGAAATAACTGGTGATGTCCGATTGTTGAACAGTTATATCGGGAGAATTGATACATTTTACAACGAAATGAAGTTATATTTGAACCATTCCGAGTGGTACACCGAGAAAGATTTGCGTGAACTACTGACTCTTTTTATATCTCATGATTCGGGTAAAGTATCCGATGTAATTGCTCAGCTGAATTTTTTAGTTGTGCCACATCGACTAGCAGCGATGAAGGAAAGTTTGTTCCTTCTACTTGGCGAGGAGACAAAGGTTACTATTATAGGGGATTATGTCATCAGGCGATAAAAGTATAATCACATAAGTCAGATAATACTTCTATCGTTGTATGACATACAATATTGGCTTCCCTAAATTCGTTGACATAAGACATTTTATCACCCAAAAAAAGTCGTCCTGAGTCAAGCCGAATCGATCTGAATCAAGTCAGACTGAATCATGCATCAAGTCGGACTCGGACAGATGCAAACCGGCATATCGCTCTGATTCAGGTCGATTTTTCGACTTGATTCAGCTCGATTTTTCAGGTCACTTGATTCAAGGCCGAAAAATCGACTTGAATCAAGTCGCTAGCTACTACCTGAAACAAGCAGAAATTCGGCGTGAATCTCTCCATTTTTTCGATTTGAAATTTTCGGTTTCATTCAAGTCGATTTTTCGACTTGATTCAAACTGATTTGTTGGCTTGACAGGGTTCTTCTTGAAATAAACCACTTTTCGACTCATATCGACACGGAATCCGGATTGACGTACGCCGAGTCACTCGACTTGAATCAAGTCAAAAATCGACTAGAACCAAGTTAACGTCAACTTGAATCAATACTTTTTTTTGGGTATAATTCATTATCAAAGATGGTTTATTCAATAAAGAAAGTAACTGATTCAACTCGACGTTAATTTAATTCTACTTGATTTTTCACCTATTTGAATTCTAGTGACTTGGAATCTTAGTTAAAACTTGGCAAATTGATTGATTTATGTGGAACGAGCCAATTCGAAGAATGGACTTGAGTCAATTTGAAGAAGCGTATATTTCAATTTGATTCAGGGCGATTTATTTTTCATATCTGTATACGTATGTTCATTAATTTTCGTACAGGGAAGAGGTGGGGAAATGTGTGACACTTACGGTCCACCTCAACAACGTCTACTCGATCTTTATGACATTATTTTAGAAACGGAAATGAGATCGTTCCTGATGACTACCTTCGGCTATATAATGCAAGATTTCTTGGACAAAGGTCTTTCTCGTAAAATAGTATTATTCTCATAACTCGAGCTAATGATACTCACTTTAATATCGATGTATATATTTCAGAGAATTCGACAGGTGGTCTAAAAAGAGCTGAATCCTCGTATATGCACAGAGTGCAGCGATACGAAGCAGCTGTCAGGCAGGGAATGAAAAAATCTTCAAGAACGTTCCGACGTTGCGATCCTCCTAACTGGGTCCGAGGTACAAATTCTTACAATTCATCCGCAGTTAATATACAAAATTGATTTTCATCTTTGGCTAACGATAATTTCAGACGAATCTTTTTATGAAATGAAATCATTTAGCCCTCCGAAACCCTTGTATGGTGTGAATTTGCGACCGATGGAAGCGGATACAGATCGCAATATGTATGGTTTATCCTATATGCAGTTACTAGAAATTATGTGCAATGATTGATGACAAATGATTATTTAGGATCGTCACTGGCATCGCATTCACTAGGAAAAGTTCCTTATTGGCGCTGCGAGTGGAGGTGGCTGAACTCAAAGCATCTGGATATATTCTTAATGAGACTGCAGTTTGGTTAGAGCCAGAAGACATAGGTTTTGATTCCGGTAAATCGCAATTCTTTCTGATGGACGACGAGTCCACTAAATTGGCGACCGACAAGGATGTTTCTGTTCTTTCTCTGTCTTACAAGAGAATACATCTGGATAAGGTGACATTACCCCCAGATGAGGTGGTGACTGGTAATTGAATTTAGTATACTAGGGTATGAAATCACGACGCGTTTCTCCCCTTTGTTTAAAATGTGTGTCCCCGGAATTAAGTAATTGTTAATTAATATCTCAAATTGAGTATCTTACTGGAAGATCTTTTGTTCCAAACTTGTGATGCCTCATTTATTTTCCGAATAGTTCATTCTTTTTTTTTCAACGATCGGCCATGTTTCGTGAAAAAGATCAATCATTTTTGCACTGATAATTTTGGTTATATTGAAAATAACGATCATGGAGCATGGACCCATATATGAATTCTGACGTGTGACACGCGGCGTGTTGCAGTACTGTGGCAGTACTGGCCGACCCGTATATGAATTTTGACGTGCGACACGCTGTTTGTGACACACTGCGTGTCACACGCTGCGTGTGGTAGTGCTGTGGCAGTATTGGCAGACCCATATATGAAGTTTGGCGTACGACACGCTACTTGCGACACACTACGTGTTGGAGTACTGTGGCAGTACTGGCAGACTCATATATGAATTTTGACGTGTGACACGCTGCGTGCGGCAGTGCTGGCAGACCCATATATGAATTTTGACATGATACGCTGCATGTGATATTGCGAATAGCCACGGCGATCTCGAATTAAGACAGAAAACGTATCTTAATTTTCAGTGTTCACGAAGTTACCCAATAGGACACATTTTTGTGTCTAATGTGGTATCATTTATTTTCTAGGTGTACGATTTACTCGAAGGGGTAATGACCACGGAAAACCCATTCAGTTAGAAATACGGTCAACCCGTGTTGACTATGACAAAGGTATTTTATATAGTGATTCGAATAAGTGGATTCAACCGAAGGAACCAGTTTATGTAAACGGAGAACGAAGGTACTTAAATATCATTTTGATATAATGGTAAATCATGGATTGGCTGTTGAAACTTATCATGAATTGTTGCCCTGATGTAGAGCTGAGTACAAGGAAACAGATTTCAGAGGCCCTCAGAACAATATGATGACGTCGATAGATGCCGAGCCGATGTCATTTATAGATTTTGACTGGAGTCAGACATCCTGGGATGGATATACAACAGCAGTGCCACTTCTAGATGGAGTACCGGTAATTGCCGATCCGCGTACTCCTTTGGCCGGTATCGCAATATATCACAAGAAAGCAGCGGGATATAGCGGATTTCTTACGTTCGTCTTGGAGGGATTTGATAAATCTAATTATAACATCGATGTGGGCGCAAACCCCTTCTGAATTCTTTGTTATGTTAAAATTGATTGTATCTATTGTTCTTTCTCACACGAGAATTTCATTGGTATTGTATCCATAATTATGAGTATGATTAAAGCAATCAACGACTATCTAATGTATTTTTACGCATAAAGGTGTTATGTATTAGTGAAGATAACGTTTATTCTGGAAATTCTAGAAGTTGACGGAATGCAGGAAAATAAATTTTCCTACACCATATACCAGATAAA